TTKTKWWTTGCTTTTGTTCTTTCCTTCAATCTAAAGAGCGGAGCTTTTTGTAAACTCGTTTAGTCATTTGCTGATTAATTGCAGCAAGCTCCACCCTAAAGTCGCAGAAAAACCTAAATTCTTACGATTTCTTTTGAACATTGAAGTTGCGATGCAATGGTTWTRCWGTARATCAAAGCCTTGTTCTTTATGTAATTGAGAAATCACAATGRTAGTTTTTGTTCAATTTGTAGAATAATTTTATTAATTTTGCTTTACCTTCTGTTCCCAGCGTKGTAGTCAATCCACATACKAGCTGTAACATGTGTGACTTCTGCCTAAAAGGCCAGCCTTTCTTTTGCAAAGTAGAGGGTCGACATGCAACCATTGGTTTGAGGAGAAACGGTGGCTGGGCACAATTCTGTAGACTGACGGCAAAGAACGTTATACCCCTCCCYCTGCAAGTAACCTTTGAACAAGCACTATTCACAGAACCCTTGTCATGTGTTCTCAATGGTTGGAAATCWCTTGGACCCATCCAAGACGAYGTCGAAATTCTTATATGTGGTGCAGGCAATACAGGTCTGCTCTGGGCTTCWTTTCTTCATTTCCGAGGCTATAGAGAAGTAGTAATGTGTGACATCTTGAAAGGAAGACAAAAAATTGCACAAAAGCTAGACTTTGGATATCAAGTTGTGACACCAGAGATTTTAATCTCAGAAGCCCGCAATGCTGAAGCTGAGAAGGATGACGAATGGGGGTTTGACATTATCATCGATAGCACAGGAGATCCCAAATCATTTGAGCAAAATATTAAACTTTTACGTCATGGAGGACGGATTCTCCTTCTTGGGACAACATCTCCGACTTCWGAAGTAACACTCAACCCTTATGATATTTGGCAAAGAGAACTAAAAATACTTACAGCAGGGCCAAACCCTTTAACATTTACGTCAGCCATTCAAGTTATTAAGGACATGGGAGACAAGTATTTAAGTTTTGATAATTTAGGKRTYCGTACGTTTCARCTACAGGAATACATGGCTGCCGTTGAAACCATGAGAAGTGGAGAAATTTCTAAAGCTGTTTTTGAATATTGATAAAAGGGATATATATTTTTGTAGTTTTGAACTCAAACAATCAAGGAATATATCTAGAATATTTTGAATTATCAGTCTTATATACAACAATGATTATATATGTATAGTCATATTTACCTAAAAACTATACTAACATATTCAATTTCAATARTATTGCTTGATAATGTCTGCAAATGGTATCAACATTCTTCAATTTTCTATGACTATTTGTATGCTATACTAGAATTCCTGCAGATAGCTGAAACTTGCATTTTTCAAATAAAATCAAAATGAAAAATTGACCATTTTRTTCAAGGAGTTAATCATTGTTTTAGAACTTATATTATTTCTAACTGGGGGGACTCCTAATTTACTTAAAAGGGTCTCATTTGAGGTTTGAGATCATTGTTTTATTTTGCTTTTGGTAATGATGAGAATTGCCACTGAATTTTGTGGTCCATCTTTGAATATTTGACAGTTAGGATGGTTAGTAAACCAAAATATCAGATTTGGACTCTTCCACCAATTATGTATAACTATCAGATGTGCTATAGTTAATAGATAGTAGCTATGGAACATGTACTAGTGTATCTATTCCTTCCTAGTGCAGACAAAATAGCCTTGTGGGCACTTACATGTACATGTAATTACAAGCTTGTATGGAGTGAGCATTTTGTTGAAGAAAAGAGTGAACTTCATRAACAAGTTATTCAGGTATGTGAAAAATTATAATTTTTATTTTGAAATTTTTTACAAGTAGAATAAAACATTTAGAATTTACAAATTGTTTGGCAAAATATATTTGTAGCACTTTCCAGTGTATGGGTGCCATAAACTTATAGCATCATTTTCATTGTTTACATGTGCTAGTAAACTATGTTGAATAGTTCAAGACTACTCTATCCCAAAGACAATGTTGTCTTTTATCTAAAAAATGTTCAATTTCTTTAAAACTATTTACATCTGACAGCTCTGTTATATCTTCATTGGTATAAGATTCAATCAAGAATTATTTACAAATTAAATTAAATGGCAGTTCTGTGGCAAACAGCGAACTATAAGCTGAACAATAATGAGAAAAAATGAAATGAATTGCGAGAGAATATAATACGCCGCATACGAAAGGAAATTTTGTAAGAGAAATGTCACATGAATTGCTTTGATCTGCATGCACAGTGCATATTTTTGCTGTTCGGAGTGGCATTTTGCATATGCACTTTCCTATTGTGTGTGGCAGGGTCTAATACTCCAGTAAAGATTATGATCATTGTTGTATTGCAGTCTTAAAAAGACCATGCACTGCTTTGTGATATTTTGATAATGTCACCAGGTTGTGGCAAAACCTCAGATGTGATCACCAACACAAAGCTAGGACGATGGCCAACAATTGGATTAAATTAATTCACTATGATAAAATAATTTAATTGCTTTAAGATGTGCTGGCATCATATATGTCATTATAGCTGGTAAAACCAGTTACTCCAGTCAGTGTTGTGTCGTTGCTAACAGTAGAAAATGGACGCAKTTTAGTAGTTGACACAATGCTGTTCCTGTTAAACTGATCAGCTGAATTACTTGCTGCAAATAGAAATAATAKGATTTTAGAATCTTACAATAAATATAGCAAGTTTTAGATGTACCTCTAGCAGTCATGATGTGCAGGGGTTATACCCAAGCTACGTAATGGGAAAGAGAGAGGTTCTAGGCTGTGTGGATCCATTCCCACCCCTCCCCCCTGCGGGGAAAAATATACCCTTAAGTTATCATGAAAAACTGCAATATAGTCTATGATGCCAATTCTGGACTGGCACCAACAGGTAATGTTGTCAGACTTTGCAGTTACTCTCGACGACACAATGTTTTTTAAAATCATTCTCTCGCAGCAGTTACGAGGTTCGTTCCCAGGTCTCTCCCAATAACCGCCTGGGGAGAGTGACCTTGGAACGAGCCTCGTAATGGCTGCGCGAGGAGACTATATCAAAATATTAACTAAAACATGATGGCTATATTTAGGACAGCTCACATAAGTGATAAAAATTGTACATTTATTTTGGTATTCTAACCAACCAATCTAACTTACTTTTTCGCCTTAGAACATTATTCAAATGCYGGTGAGCAAATGTTGTCCTAGCAAGAAGGAAGCCCAAAAGAACACCAAAAAGAACACCAAATACAAAAACAGCAAGAAATATGGCRACGGCTTCACCAACACTTAATGTTCCCAAAGTATCAGCCACTCCACCAGTTCGTTCTATGGGATGAAAACAAATATTTGATATAACAACATTAADAGTAGTATGAACTACAAATTACTGATATGATCGTAACCCGTTGTTTTTCCTCTGCATTACTTAAATMAACAAATGCAGACATAAACAGTTTAGCTACAAGCTGCAATGTTAAAATATTGCTGTCTGCTTCAAAACATGCAGACAGCAATATTTTTAATATTTCCACCTGCACACAGGGCTGCACCCTCAGCTGCCTGCATTATGCTTACGAATATGCTGTGTGCCTCAGTAATTATCTATTAATTCCAGCAAAAAAGGCCTGCACTTGCATCATGTTTTGATTCACTAGCAAAATCAAGTGCAAGCACACGTACACTGAAAACGTTTGGTATCTTCATTATATGCTTRCTTTTGTGATCACATTAAATCCATAACACAAAATAATATTATAAAAAAATAATTAAATTTATAACARTTTTTTGACACTTACTTTCTTTCTTTGGGGTGATTGTGTCATTGTTGGTATGATTAGGTTCAGTTGTTGTCGTTGTTGTCGCTGCTGTTGTTGATGGTAAACATGGTCTTTTATCGTCACCTTGGCAGCCAAAGCCTCCATTATAAGGTGTTGGATTATTACATTGTCGTGTTTGTGTACCAGACTGGGAACATTGTCCCCACGACGACCAGCCTCCATTGGTAACTATGGTAACAAATGAGTCCATTCAAAATTGGTACAATAACTTGATCAAATAATATATAATATCAAAAAATAATAAAAATGTGCTTGTTGAGAGCATAAAAATAACAAAATAAAACTCAAATATCTACACTAGTTAAATATCATATAGCCTCAGGGTGACTGYAGGCCCTTCCGGTACCCTATACTAACCTTTCTCTAGAATAAATAAAAGCCTTTTTTACAAACTGCTTATTTTTTTTATGTTTATTTATAAGTGATATTATCATACCATCATTCCCATAAGGGCAGGCTTTGTCRCTTTTATCCTTGCAAACATACATTTTCATCTTCATGTTTTCAGTTCTGCATTTCCCACCAATTAAATTGCTGACATTTTTTTGCGATCCATCTGAAGTATCTAAAATCATGAAAATATATAAACTTGAGCCTTATGGGATTTTATTTTTTAAAYATTACAACTCTTACCTATGAAATAGTGCAAGTGTCCAGCTTTGAAAAACGGTAGTTGACTGTTTGGTAGATTATCTATTGTGAATATTGTTACTTTTGCATGTTTAACTTTCAAAGGATCATCACAAACTTYGATTTTTTTTCCTCCAGTTGCATTRCAATTATCATATCCTTCTTTGTCCACCATGTATATATTGGCATACAGCATGTCTTTGTCTAAATCTGTGTTGSTTTTATCGACGTAAATAACATTGTTTGGACATATAAAGTTTATATGGTCTTTGATGAAGACAGTCCTTGGGGAGCCTTTGAGATTTTTGAAACTAAGAAAGAAAATTTCAATTAATTCTTTAACTATTAACATTATGTGAGAGGGGAGCAGGGGAGAGGAGGGAGGGAGGGGGTGTTTCGTCCAGAATGACAAAAAAAAAAAAAAAAGGAATCACACTTACAGTGATGTAATAAGCAGATAATAAGCATTAAATCACAACTAATGTGTCAAAACCTCTCAATATTTCTTGAAATGTATGTATAATCATTCTGCCAATGAGTAACTTTTTTAGCCTGTACAAAATCACTGATGATAGCAAATCTGATGATAGAGCAAAGTATTTTATGAAGACTTGAGAACTGTGTGATTGGGTGAAACAGGGTGGTGGTGGTAAACAGACAATTTATCCCAGGGAGGGGAGAGRGGGGAAGTAAATAATCAAGACAGATGCAACAGGTGATTGGTGTACCCTTGTGTCATCCCCCTGTAAGTGTCACTGCCAGCTGGGGTGGTGGGATGTTTTTTTTTTTTGTTTTTTTTTTGACTACTAAAACATTGTTTTATATTAATATGGCCATATTCTTTGGGATTTAGTAATTTATGTTAATTAAGCTGTGTAAACGGAATGGATTTGAAATGACATTTCAAAACAATTTTATGCAAATCTTAAAATTCTTTAGACATATTTAATTCTTGTTTACACACGAGCACCCTCACCCAACTACCTCAACAAACATTATACAAATCATAAAATTACAATTTCTATTTTTTTAAGTTTACTTATCTTCTGTAAAATTATTTATAGAAATGAACGAATAAATATTTCTAAATCAATGTATTAAGTTGCAACCAGAAAAAAAWCCTTCAAGTCGAGAATGTTAAAAATTCGAGATAAAAATCAAACAATGATGAAAAAGGAAWTTTTCGTCTTGCAAAACACGATCAAAGATACACGGAAATTAGATTCAAAAACTTAGCTGAAACCAATATAATTCAATAGCATTTTCATTTACCCAGTACCTCAACAATAGCAACCAAAATAGGACCATTAAGGTAACCATTATTACGTAGAATACATGGATTACGTTTATAATAAAATAGCGCCACCAGCAAGAGAGCAACAAGGTCAAAACATGACAAACATACAGAAAATCTTACTTACATAGTGCCGTAGGAAGCCCATAAAATCGACGGCAAATTGTCTGTGTAAGCTGTGTTTATCATAAAAGTGAGGAGCAAGACACAAACTTTTAAACAATACGAGTAGTTGTAGTTCAAAATCTCCATGTTGCTAACAGTTCTACAAGACGTCGCGAGCAGACGTCTCAAGATCGACACTTAAAATAGGCAGTTTTTTCAGCTGTCTTGTTGTAGTTAGATCACGGACAGTCTCCCCTACTAGCTCATAATTGTAGTATTTTAACATAGGAACGTAACCAAGTCACAAAACGGATATGAACTCACAAAGAACCTCAACCCACAAAACCATTGAACCGCTACACTGACCACACAATTACTCAGTAGGGGAGGGAGCATTTCTTGGAAATATTTGTTCGCATTACTTAATAAATAACACAAATAAGTACTATTTTCCATTACAAAACACTAAAATATTACATTTTAGTCCACATAKCAATTTTTGAGCGATACATTACTATTTGATTGTAGTATTTGCTTACTTTCTAAACTAGCTTACCCTCCCCTCCCCTACAAATATCAATAGCCCCAAGGTGTTTTRTATGATGTGACGTCATTTCACGGCCAAGCGAAGACGTGTTGGATTGATTGATTGGAAATATCGTCATCCTCCTTTTTTGTCAAAACCGCATAATTTCCGAAAAGCGGGAAAACTAAGTATTCTTTTAAACCACAATAGATACTATTTATTAAAATTATACTTACAATAGAAAAAAATTGTAAAGTTCATGTGTCCTATATTGTCGGAATGATCCATATTTATGGGTCTTTGCATGCAAAGGCTCTCAAAGGTAGCCACAAAAGATTTCACAATCTGAGAGGTCATTTTACAGACATACAGCACTCCATTTACCGACAAGAGCTATTGCTAAAAGCTGTCACTCATCGCATCGGATGTGTCGATAGAATGGAGATTTATTATTTTGAGAAAAATAGTTTCATTGTCGGCCATGGGCTATATGTATCAAATTTCATGGATTTGAAAATCAGTTTACTTTTTCCATATATTTTGCACTAAACATATACTTTCCACATCAAATTTCAATTCATTTTTTGTATTTTTACTTCGCGCAATACTTAGAACATTTGGTCATCCAAAGATCGCGCATACATGCGTCCCAAGACAAAACTTACTCCGCTTGAAACGTGTTCAAATGGCAAAAATAGTCTTCTTTTCCTTTGGCAGTATCATATAGTTATACTGAGATAAGAAAAGGTAGATCTATCATGTGAGAAGGGCGTTTTTTWACGAAATATTTTCCTTGTTAGCGAAATTCCAGGTAATTCACGTAATAGCGAAATGATACAGGAACAATAACGATGTGTTTTCCGCAGTAGAGTTCCCGGAACCAGTCGTTTTTCACCGAAATTCACATTTTCCTTTACCACAGGATTATTCTCTGTGCTACTAATTAACCTTGGAAAGAAAACAGTCTGCGGAGTTTAAGGTGATTCGTGGATTTTATGTTCGTGTCACTCTACAGTAACACTGTCTAATATAAAACTCTTTCAGTTAGAATTTATCTTAGTCTGGAACGACCTTAGTGCATTATCAAGCAGYTATGAATTCCAGTTCAATGATCTGAACTGAGGCATTGTGGTCAGGATACCACACCCTAGAGCAAGCGTCCGATATACTGTATGAGGCACTTAAAGCACCAAACAGATAAGATATGAAATCAAGGAATTTTATAATAGCATACTTCGTATTGTACAAAAGATTCTTCAAATATATTTGTTTATCGCTATTTGAGTCGTTAATTTGCAATGACAGACTATTTGGGTGTTGTTTTGTGTACACTCTGTGAATGGTTGAAAGGTTTGTACTGTGACGGTAGCGGACAGTCAAGACGGGAAGTCAAAATTAATACTACCCAAATAATTCTTTCTTTCACAGCACGAAACATGAAAGGATGGCCACAGACACCTAATATCTTATTGTTTATTCTTATGCTACACCGAGTTTTACAATTTTTCTCTAAAATGCAAAAACGTTTTGGGTGGGATCCGACTGTAGGATGAGTCAGAATCACGTGTATCTACAACTTGTCACACACGCCTTAAACAAACAGGCAGACGTAAGTTCCCTACAAGTAGGTGTGAAATACATACAGTAAAAACCCGCGTACAAGAACAAGTGGATAAAGAACACCCAGGCCTGTTTTTAGGAAATAAAGTACCATTTATATAAGAACACATTCAGCCTGAAAAATGAAAGTTGTTCTTTATGGAAACATATCAAAGATCAACACTACTTTTCATTGCACACACAATATAGTTCCACCCCAATTATGTTTAAGAAATATTAAACAAAATAAAAATATGTAACTGTTACATAGATTTCATCTATTGGTAGCCTACTCCATATTAGAAACTTTTTTTAAGAACACTAAGAACACTTAGAGGCTTATTTTGCAGATTATAACGCTTCAAATCAGAACCAAATCAGCCTGAACCGACAACGTGGCTTTTACTGTATTGTGCACCTTTTTCGCGGACCTTGTCGACTCATTTCTACCTCCCCGCTTCCTGACTCGTCATTTTTAACTCGATTTCTCTATGCTTCGCGAGGCCAACTTTATGCACCAAACTCTCTCTCCAAACCTACAAGAAGATTTTTGAAGAAGGCTATATGTATTTTGAAAGTTGTACGCAAAAAAAAACATCTAATATTTGCTCAACCAACTATTTTTTCATTTTGACAGTCATTACACATTTCGAAAAAACTGTATCAACTAAGAAACCTTATTCATTTACCACAAACTCATACACTATCTATTCCAAGCAATATGTAAGTCATATGTAAATTAGGGCAGCCATATTGTGGTAATTCAGCCATTTCTTGGGTTTCCTGTGTATAAAATAGCACTGAAAAACATGGCGCTCCTTGTTGAAGGTTGCTAATCTAATGGAAATATGCTGTAAATTCAATCTATATAATTACAAAGGTTGTAAATATCCCGTAAGTTTCCGAAATCATGGAAATATCGTGTAAATTTGGATTTGGATTTATTACATAATATTTCCATTAAATTTACATCGTTTATAAAAATTGTATAAATGTGATGTAAATATTAGTAATATTATGTGTCCAAAATCATGTAAATATTACATAAATCATTTTTAACTCAAATTTACAGCGCGGTTTTTTTCTACTTCATTTCTTGAGACTTTTCAAGACTTTCTCTTTCTTTTCTTTTTTCTTTAATTAGTATAAACAGTTTTATGAATAAAGAATGATTTTTAAAGCCATTTTTATATTTCCCCCCCTCGTATTACGAGGGGGGGAAATGAAGTAGAAAAAATTTACGGCTTCATGAGGGCTCGAACCGCGAACCCCGCATTAATACTTGGACACCGCCGTGAAAGCAACACAACCGTTGAGCCTGGGACCCCTGTGTCCGTTCAAGCTAAGCTATAACATGTAAAAACGGAGGAGGGGTGCGGAGGAGGGAATACCAATCTTAGCTTTATCACCTGTCACGTCTGATTGGTGACCCATCTCATCGCAGCTAACGCGTTGCTATGGTTAAATATTCCCACCTGGGAGAAARTCATTATTGTTCGTTGCATTTTGGCTTCAAAGGTCTGTCAGCTTGTCAAACTTTAAAATCATTGTCATACTTTCTCAAATCGACGGGAATTTTCTATGTATTTGAAAAACCGGAAGACTCTTCAAGCTCACTCATTTAAATCTTCTAAAAATAGATCTTATATTGAATGGTGAATACCAGAAGGTGCCTGTCTGAACCACTAAATGAAAGAATAACATCATGACAGTCTGACGATGCTGTATTTAACTGTTGTGGCGGCGATAGTTCTTATTTATTTATTATTACTTTGGGGGAAAAACGACGATAGAAAGGTAGGAAGCTTAGTATAATGATTAAACACACTGATTGATTTTAATTTATACCAGAGGTCAGGAATTAACAAACAGCTGGAGTGTCTGTAACTATTAAAACGATATATGACAAATACAATTTATATCTAAACTATAAACGGCCCAAAACGAATATATTATACATTGCTAGCGATATAGCTACGGAAACATTGACTACGGACAGAAACAATAAGATACAGACAGACAAGTTAATATGCATGAAAACATATATCGACAGGGACAATGTAAGCTTGGGCACACTGTGTTGTCTGTAAGCAGCAGAGGATAACGATTATACTGGAAGTAGACTTCAGTCTCCCGTACGCTGTCTGCAGGTCAATTAACGAATAGGCCTTATCACGCCCAAGAAAAATAACATCAATTTTAGTCAAAGGTATATAGTCTCCTTTGTTTGTGCTTCCTCTTCCCTCACGTGAAGATTAGCAGAGGGAATGCATGTAAAGTTGATTTCAAAATGCTAGTGCATTTTATCATATGCATTTTATCATATGAACACAAGAGTGTTAAACTGAGTGATCGACTGAGAGATAAAATGGAAGTTTTGTCGTTTCTACTCATGGTTTACAAGTGATTGTTTGCAACTGATAATGTTATTTGGATAAAGATTCTTCAAACATCCGACTTGTGTGACAGGAGATTGGTGAGATGATTGAATGCATGAATGGATGGATGAAACGCCGGACGAAATAATGAATGGATTATGCAATGAAAAAATGAGAAAACGAATGGACGAACGAACGAACGGAAGATGAATGATTGGATGAAAGACTGGGAGAATAAACAATGAATGGATCATGAAATGAATAAAATGAGAAAACGAATGGAAAAACGAACGAATGGAATATGAATGATTCAATGAAAGGCAGGATGAATAAACAATGAATGTATCATACAATGAAAAAAATAAGAAAACGGAGAGATAAATGAACGAACGGAGGGATGAATGGATAGCATGTGAATGAATAAATGCATGGGAAAATGGATGGATGGATGAATAAATGACAAAATGTTTCCTYRTTGATACAACAACCATATGGCGCCTATCGTACAGATGGGATCACGACATTGCGTGACACATCCATTGAAGTYAAGCCAAATGAACAGTATATAGATCGTATTACACTKTGCTGTCTAAAGCGAAAACTCACAAACGACCATYTTCTCGAGTTCGTTATCAAACCAAAAGCTTTGATACTGAGAGCTTGAACCTACCGAGATGGGGAACGCACAGGGTAGTTACGAGCTCAGCCCAAAGGTAGGACTAAAGACTTCTTAGAAATACAATTCACATTCAAGTAACTCTATAAAATCGTGAGTTGTCAGTTGGAAGAGTAATTTCGACGTATTTGGTAGCTATTATACASCAATATGAAGAATATAAAGTAGTTTACTGGGAGAGGTGACGTATCGGTGTTTAAATAACGGAAGCCATGGATTTCTCAGTAATATATAAAAGGGAAACTTGGATGATATGACTGTATAAACTGTACATTCAAAAGCGCGTAAGATATTATAATGAAATTCTACTAGAATTTGTTACTTTAGAGGAAAGCTGTGGACTTTACGTGTTTTTCATCCAACTGGTCTTTTTTGACAGTTTTTATCGTGCGCCTGTGGAAAATTTTCTAGAACAACTAAGCTGGTTTAAGATGCCTTCATTTTGCTTCATTTTGCGGACAGGAACATGAATAAAAACAGCTATATCCTATATTTACACTGAAAATAAACTGTTTAGCTGCCATTGATCTCTAAGTATACTGCAAATATCGGCCCATTTTAAAGGTAATGTCTTAGACAAGAACACAAACATTTAAGTGTCAAAATCCGGCCCATTTATATACTGAATCGCGTGTTCAGCTTTGCATTCCACCTGGAGTAGTTCTGTTCCTCTATTTTCTATTATAAGAACAAAAACTTCATAGCAATTAAAGAAGAAACTTATCTTGATAGATCGGTAAATGTTCAGCTTGATTTAGCAACACTTAAAGCAAATACGTCAGACAGCGAGTCTTCGCCTCTTGGTATGGCCAGCCATACACAGTGAAGCACGTCCGTGAACCTTCAAGATTATACACAATTGTAGAAATATAACAATTGGTTCTGTGAATTGCAATGTTTTAAAAACAGCACGTACCTACTGCGCAATCTATCATGACATTATTTAAACCATTAATGATTTGAAAAAACTCAATTTTGATAGCGAGGTCGTGACATTTTCATTTTTTTAACTCATAATCCCGTATTTTTTGGCCACAATTCATGATCGATGATGCCAAGATTTCCTCAAAATTTAATGCATGATCTACTAGGAAATCTCTRTTTCTATGTGCTATATGACGACCTTGTGATGACCAGGACGCGACGAGAGCTTTCAATGTCTAAAGCTGACTTAGATATGAATCGATGTTTGTTTTATGTCTTTAGGTAGTTCTTAATCATGTTCACCCTAATTTTATCAAGCCTCCTCCGCAGACGTCTCTTAAAAGAACGGTCTTCCTGTGTAAGATCAGAAAGAGAGCGGAACTCTTCCTTATTTTCTCCACAGGGAGCCCGAAGTTATTGAATTGGAGGGCTGYAGAGGAGGGTAAATTGTATCTAGTGACCACACAACCAATGCAACCCACAGGCAACCCACTAACCTCAGAACCAACCACGAACAGCCACTAACGAATCAATGAAGAAACCAACATTGTAACCCACTAACCAATCTATGAAKCACACATCGAGTCGTCTCATGATCAATTGATACTCCTGTGAAAATACGTCCTTATCATACACGTTATGAACCATCAATTTTGTTTGGATGGACTGCCTGTGTTTTTTTTGGATGGGCTGCCTATGGTCGTCGCGAGATCTGTGAAGTCACTGAGGTGTAACAAAAACATTAATCAATGTGTACTTCTTGTTTGCAGAAACCCATTGGTACCAAAAATGAAGGAGGTAAAACAACACTTTGTTCTATCGTAAGCTGAGTAGCCCTTCCTCTTCCTTCCCGAGAGCCTGGAACTCAGTTCATTGTACTAATCTTAAAAAATGATATTTTGTCATCAAAATATCAAACTTAATTAGGGAAAGTAATGATGTCTTTCAAACGAGAATTTGCTCTATATCGTAAGCTGAGTAGCCCTTCCTCTTCCATCCCGAGGGCCTGGAACTCAGTTTATTCTAATCTTAAAAACTGCTATTTTGTCATCAAAATCCAAAACTTTAAAGAAAGTAACGATGTCATTATTTATGTTTCTAGACAGCTCTCTCGGTATGGAAAGCTGTGCCATCCCAGCTGCCCGCATAACCGCTTCATCATCAACTGACGAAGGCCCAGCATTCTTTGCGCGTCTGAATGGCAGTAARTCATGGTGTGCCGGTAGTCCAGCGGACTGCTTCTTAGAAGTTGACCTCGACATTGCACACTACGTGTCAGCGGTCGCAACCCAGGGCAACCCCATCGGTAACCATGACTTCGTCAAGAAATATAAAATACAGTACTCTATCGATGGTATGGACTGGGAATATTATAAAGAGAACTATAAAGAGGTAGAATACCATGATTGTATATTAGATGGTATAGTTTGTATTCTTTTGTTTACGCGCGCTCAGATTTGCCCAAGAACAGATCGCAATTTTACCACGGACGCGTGATCAAAATAATGTCAAACTGACAGCGATCTGGGACCGACTTTACGGAAGAAGTCTGGACACCATTTTGTCACAGTTGATTGGCTTAAGATAGGTGTGGTCATGTGACCCAAACCTGCAAAATCCCGATCTGCTGGTGAAATCCTTTTGTAACATGAGTGGATTTTTCATTTGAAAAGTTTTCATTTTTTTCATTGAAAATTCCTGATTGACACTTCTTTTTGGTTTAGGTCTTAGACGGCAACTCAGACTACAATACCCCAGCAAAAAGGAAACTCGAACCTGACATCAAAGCTCGTTACGTCAGGTTTTGGCCGACGGCGTGGTTTCARTGGCCTTGTTTAAGGGTTGAGATCTACGGTCGACCCGCACCACCAGGTACAAGCCCGCGGGACTGTCCCGCGTAGCTATTTTCATTCAATACAGGCTAGATAGAATAAACTTTGTAATTCATGGCTTATGATTCGAGCGTTTCTTCCCTCTCTCCATGGAAATAGTCTGTCACCACATAGATGATATGATGGGAAACGAAATCTCCTACACTAATGTAAATCCATACCACGTTGATTCGATTCATTTTAGTATTAGACATCAATCATCGAACCTAACAACGAACGGGAATCAAGTAATCAAATGATACTTGTTACATCATAGCATTACTCGTATAGAAGGCCATTTCATTCAATTCATTCGATCTTTTAACTCCTTTCTGTCTTGTCTTTCATGATGTAACCCGACTACGTTTTTTTTAATTAAGCCAATAACATTGAATCTCAAGTAAGAAGTATTCTCAGAGCTTAAAAGTCTATAATTTTCTTGTTTAGTGCTTCGGATATCCCATAATTTCTTACGGAATTGGTACAGAATTTAAGATGGCCGCCGTATTTATAAGGTCATATTAAAATTCAAGATGGCTGTCGTATTTATAAGGTCATATTAAAATTCAAGATGGCTGTCGTATTTATAAGGTCATAAAATTCAAGATGGCCGCCGTTATTTATAAGGTCATAAAATTCAAGATGGCCGACGTTATTTATAATTATTATATAATAAGGTCTATTAATGTAGATAATACGAACAGAACGTGCTGTTTTGATTAGMGATAAAACAAAAATAGCGTCATGACCCATCGATGCACTTGTGAGGTCTGGATATTTTCCTAATGTACCACCGCTGTCTGCCACGTTGGAATCGTGTTTATCAAATTAATTTATCTTTTACTCTGACGTCGGATCTCACCTCTAGTTTCCCAAAGTACAGTTTTTTTAATTGATCATTAAAGAAAACTGTTTTTGATAGTTTTACAAATGAATTTTTAGTCCCATGCAAACGAATTTTAAATAAATATATATTAAATTAATTTTTAGATGCCTGATAAATTAAAAAAAAATGTTTATGCATTTCCGTTCTATTTTCACGTAATTATATATTTTTTTGCTCTTAAATGAAAYTTCATTTATCGTAAATTGCCTCTTTTAAAGGATATACCCAAATAAACCGTACAATGAACTTGTTCGTTATTTTTTCAAGTGTTATTCAACTTTTTTAAGTGGTWGGGAATTAAAAGTGCAAGTACATTTTCGTTAGCTATGCCGACTATTTCGTTTTTTTCAGACAAAATGAAGGACAGCCAACGCCAAAATAGACTATATCATAGATTTTTGCATTACTATTTTCAAGTGTTATTCCATATACTTTAAGGGTTCTTTAAGTAGATAGTTAAACAAAAGTAGTGTAATACTATAGTTTGGTATACTATACTGACATTTTTCTCATGACTTATCTTTTCAGACAAGATGACGGAAAACGGTGTCGTTCCCATAAGATTACAATCCGACGATAAACAACAGGGAGAGGACGAAAACGAAAAAATAACCAACGGTGAAGTAGTCCCGCAAGATRATACCTACACGGAACAACCAGAAGTAAAAATAAACGCGACGGTATATGAAAKTGATGAAGAAAAAGAGGTTGCTGGACAAGAAATAGATTTGGAGTTTCTGAAYGACGAAGAAGTTACTGATGAAGACCAAGAAGGAAACATGAAATCAGCGGAGAAACAGAACGAAGATAAAACGAACGAAAGTGARAGTGAAGAAGAAAAAGAAATTTCCGGACAAGAGATAGACATGGAAGCACTAAACGACATCGAGGTAGTGTCTACAGATAAAACTACGGATCACTTAGACGACAGATTAAACGTAAGTGACGGAGAAAACAATACCAAGAAAGAATTAAACATGGATATTTTGAACGACATCGGTGTGATAAGTACAGGGGAAAATGACGTCAAAGAAACGACAGACGAGATCTCTTTCCGCGCTCTAGTCACCAGTACACCTGCGAAGCCCAAACGACTCGATGTAAACAAACCCGACCAGGAGAACAATAATCGAGTGTTAGCCATCAAACATAACGATGCAGACTTAAAAAGACTCATGGATGTGAAAGCTAAATTAGAACTCGAGGCCGATACGAGGAGACGATATGGCGTTGAGTTAAGGAAGAAGAAGAAGARAGTGACCCTAGAAGATGATCCCCCCGAATACCTCCATTTACCGAGAAGAATTTACGACGGTGAGAGTTCAAATTGTCTGGTTTTTAGTTATTCTAGTTTACTAGACTAAATTCATCGTATTTATCATACAGTGACGTTGTTTTAGATATGATTTGCGTTACGAGTGCATTAGTCTCTTCGTTTCTGATTAATTTTTTCACTGAGTCGAACTGAAAAGACAGCAGTTGAAAGGGGAAATACGTCCTTGTGGGAAAAAAGGCTCGAGATTTYAACTTATGATAAAAATAACACGAAATACCGCTGTAGAAATTAGAGCTTCTTTTTAAGCAAATTATATTACGTTTTTCATATTTCATTTCTCATAAAATGACTCTCTTTTCAACGTTTTGATTTCCTAGAAATTTGCATATTCCATATGCGCGGCACAAGCTTGCGGATAATTTTGTCCAAATTACCGTAAATTACCACTTACATAACCCTATTTCTAATATACCTTTTTCGCTTTATATATTTGTTTTCTCTTATTAAATGAAACAAACTTTCATTGTAGTACTCAAATATATAGAGAATTACTATAAATATCAGCTGCCTTCAAAAATCAAACGTGTTTAGAATTATGTTGATAGGAATAATTACTTTYTGTTTGACTTATAAAATAGACAATAACAAAAATTTAAGGTGAAAATCTTAATAGATCAAAAAATGAATAATGTCATGTATATTTGATTCTCTTTATCGTGGGTGTAGAGCGTTTTTTCAATAAAATCATTTATTATAATAGTTTAAGTATATCGTCTTTTAGTTTCAATTAAAATTTCAAAAATGAAATGTTAATTTTATGAAAAAAAATTAGAAATCGAACAAAACAAAGAAAAAAATGAATTTCGTTGGTTATTGGGGATAATAAAGAATAATATCAATATATTGTAAATGTATGTAAATATTTGAATGGTGAAAAAGTGAAAGAAATAATGAGAAAGCGTAAAGAAATGATAAACCGAGTAGTTATAAAAAAGCTCGAGTCAAAACAGAGTAAAAAAGAAATATGTGCTTGTCTAATGTAATCGATTATAAATCCAGCATTTTCATTGGCTATTGCCCGTAGTTTTATTCGTGATAAAAGATCTAAACGAATAATAAAGTAATGTGCTGCGATCGCCATTTTGTGCAGCAAAGCATGATGGATTTGTAATCCTCGCACATGTTCATGTCCGCTAAAGCAGTCTTTGTCTATTAGCCTTTTTTGTTTTTACTCTGCAAAAACAGAGTTAGTTTTGCCGTTTATACATAGAAAACATAAAAACGATTTTTAGGGAGATTTTTTAGGGGTTATAACAAGTTTGAGGATYTCAGCTCTCGTTTTTTGTATGACAAACGGCTTTATTGCACATTGCCTTATCCTAAGTTTTGTTGATATTAAAACTGTCATTTTCGTTGTTTAATGCCTTGGATTTAATTCTAGTTTACATTAATTCTAAAATACCTCTATTTGTCAGACATGTGGGGCGATTCTCCGACCAGTTCGGTTTCTGAGGGGCTCAACAACCAAGACGAGAAACCGCTGATTGARATTCAAGATGGGGGAGCTCCGCTGGCCAAACACGAAGACGATCATATCGAGGAAACCTCTGACCACCAAACACCGCAGGCTGTAACGATAAGAACAGTGAAAAAGATCACCACAAGAATCGAAAGACATGCTGGACATAATCACCTACACGATGTACATAATCACGGACATGATCACAAGGGTAATAAACAACAATATATTTTGATCCAAAAGTGTCTATTATTAAAGGAAGAATTAATTAGGGGGCTTTCATTTATTAGCTCATGGGGGTGTCTGGCAAAATTTTAAACATCTGTCTGCAAACATTATATAACCACCCCCAGCATGTTATACATCAAATCACAACCCCCTATTATAAGACTAAGATTATAAGACCCCCCTGCATATTAACAAGTATAGAAATCATCAACCCCCCTCAATTCTACCAAACCCCCCTCCCCATGAGCTAATAAATGAAAGCCCCCTTAATCCTCGAAGAATTAATAAGGCCGGCCCCAGGATCTTATATGGCTTGATTTATGTAACTATGATGATAATGATGATAATAATAATGATGATGATAATGATGATAATAATAATGTTGATGATGATAATGATGATAATAATGATAATGATGATAATGATGATGATGATGATAATGATGATAATAATAATGTTGATAATGATGATGATGATGATGATGATAATGATGATGATGATGATGATGATGATGATGATGATGATCACTGTCTTTAATTTATTTTTTTTTAGATAGCGGTATTGTTTGCTCAACATCAGCGAACGTATCCCATGATGCC